TCTCATACCCTTCTTAATTTTCCGTCATCTAATTGAATGAATTGAATAAGATCAAGGATCAATATGTGAAAAGTAAAAATGGAGGTGTGAATAACAATTTCTTTTTAAGAAAATGCATGAGGATGGTCTGCGTGTTTGTTTTTTTGAGTGCAAGACTATACAAGTCTTTTAATATGCACCGTCCAAAACGACAAGGGCTATATTTCTTTATTCACCAATATTCGCACCCCGTCCCTTCTTTTTTCCGGTGGCACGGCAGCCGCCGTTGTCAATACCAGTACCCACCCCGTCTCCCTTCCTCCCTCCAAGTTGAGATACATTGAAACCAAAACAAAATATTATTCAGTTAAGATGAAAGAGCAAAAAGGTGGCCAAGACGACAATGGTTGGCATCCCAATGAGACTTTGGCAGTCTTACCTTGAGGGCGGAAGAGGGAGGAGGAAGGATGATCTGCCATGGCCCATTGCATGTGGAAATGGAAGGGAAGAGGGACGGGTGGGGAGGTGAAAAGTTGAAGTTTGGAGAATGATATATTAAATACGTGGCATCGTTATAACCCTTGGATCGTTTTGGACGGTGCATATTAAAAGACTTGTACGGTCTTGCAATGAAAAAACATGCAGAGAACCCCCAACCAGCCCTTAATGGTCTACGTTGGAAATTAACAAAGGCAGTCAATTGAATGCGACCCTTTTTCTTCTTAATCCCTGTGTTTACGTTGTGTGTGCTTAATTTCCAGTTCCAAATCAAACAGTTGATTGGCCATTCCTTCCCTCTAACTCTTCGTGTTTAATGTTGCATAATAAAATAAGAAGAAATTGGGAGTAAATTAAAGAGACTCAAATGGAAGAGGAGAAAAAGATCATGCACTACAGCGGCTCTCAGAAGATACTGTTAGTAGGTGAGGGCAACTTCTCTTTTGCTGCTTGCTTAGCCACTGCATTTGCCTCTGCAAGCAACATTGTAGCCACTTCTCTCGACTCCAAAGGTAATACGAGTGATAATCTATTTTATTTTTGCTATGGTGCAGTGAGAATCTACGCTAGGGATACTATTGACTTTCTTAAATTAAGAACATTTTGTTTTTAGTGTGGGGTTCAACGATCAAAATTGTTTAGTTTTTAGATTCTCTTTCAATGATTCTCTATGCAAAATATAGATCAAATCAACAATTATTTAGTTGTTTGATTGTCTTCATTTTCATTTCAACGAACCATGTTTTTTTTCTCCACATTTTAGATTATCAAACATTTATTTATTAAAAAAATAAATTTAGATGTACTTTTTGTTGGAAAATATTAGGTTTACTTTAATGTTTGGTTTTCTAGGCTTAGCCCATTAGTATTAGGGTTTCGTTTTCTTGCTTATTAGGGTTATGTTAGTTCTCTATATATATGGTGTTTTGTAGCTTGTATAATTAACAAGTTAGTCACAATGTAGTCTCTAGGGTTTTTGTAGCCGTCTCGGCATTCTCTGTTTGATATCAATAATATTTCTAGTTTTGTAATCCGTTTGTTTGTTCATTGTGGTATGTGCACTCTGATATTCAACTTGGTATCAGAGCGGGTTTGATTCCTCGGAATTTAATCTGTTCTGGATGGATATCAATTTGTTCATCTGTTTGTCCACTGCGTATCAGTTCGTCATGGTATGTTTTGTTGGTTTGTCTGTCTGGTAGTAGTTAGGGTTTTGTTATATGTTTTTAAAAAAAATAAAAAATTTGATTCAGTTTGCTGCGTCATGTCATCGTCCTCTGCTAAACTTGGAATCGCCGCCACGAACCCCACATCACCAGCGTGCTCCTACCATCAGGACATCACCGCGCCAACCCGCCACGCCTGCACCCAGTGCCACCATGTCCCGCCTACAACCCCGTTGTCTTACCACCACCTGCTGTAAACCCACATCGCTCGCCTGCTTGCGCGCCGTGCAGACCGAATCTGATAAAGCCACACCAACTTGCTGCAAATACATGCAGTTGATCCATACCCATGAGCCTGCTTGAATCTTCGCACCCGACCCGCTTGTCGCCTGCACCCACTGCTTGCTTGCCGTTCCCATTGTTCGTTGACTAGAACTCGCGCTTGGTTTACGCGTTCTGGAGAAAACCATTGGAAAAAAGGAAGCAGAATAAAAAGTAAGAAAAAGAAAAAAAAAAGTGATGTTTGAGGAAAAGGACAAAAAGAAAAAAAAGAAAAAAAAGAAAAAGAAATGCAAAAGTATTAGAAGTTGGGCTTGCCGTTGGTCTTGTTGATTGTTTTGGAGAATGACTATGGTCGTCTGCTATTGTACCCACAACGATTGTTCGAGTGCTTGGATTGTTGATTACTCGAGTGATTATTGTTGAGGTTTTCGTCTGCTTGTTTGTTGTCGTTGGGCTATTGGAATCTCGTCCGTTTAGTGACAAGGTCCATGCTCAAACGAAATATGTCTGCCCTCTGCCATGTGAATCTATATCCACCTGCCTGTCTGTCTGTCCGCGTTGCGAAGCCTGCCTGTCTGTCTGTTCACGTTGCGGAGCCTGCCTATCTGTCTGTCCGCGTTGCGGAGCCTGCCTGCCTGTCTGTCAGCGTTGCGGAGCCTGCCTGCCTGTCTGTCCGCGTTGCGGAGCCTGTCTGCCTGTCTGTCTGTCCCCCTAACGGAGCCAGTCCACATCTGCTTGTTTGCAAACCCATGTCGTATACCGCCATGAGTTTGACTGGGGGTGTTGGAAAATATTAGGTTTACTTTAATGTTTGGTTTTCTAGGCTTAGCCCGTTAGTATTAGGGTTTCGTTTTCTTGCTTATTAGGGTTATGTTAGTTCTCTATATATATGGTGTTTTGTAGCTTGTATAATTAACAAGTTAGTCACAATGTAGTCTCTAGGGTTTTTGTAGCCGTCTCGGCATTCTCTGTTTGATATCAATAATATTTCTAGTTTTGTAATCCGTTTGTTTGTTCATTGTGGTATGTGCACTCTGATATTCAACTCTTTTTTTCTTTTTTTTTTGCAAAACTGACCCTTAAATGAGAACAAAAAATGTAGACGGTTTCCAATCGTTGAAATGCATTCTAGGGTAGCCTTCAAAAGAATGTCCTTAACTTATATACTGATATTTATATATGTACATACCAATTTCTTGACTAAAATCCCTTCCATACCAATTGCAGAGTCATTTATGGAGAAGTACCCAAATGCAGTGAGGACCTTGAACGAATTAGAGGGAAAGGGATGTGTAGTATTGCATGAAGTGGATGTAGATACCATGAGCCAACACCCTCTGCTAGCCGATAAACTATTTGATCGAATAGTCTTTAATTTTCCTCATGCGGGTTTCGTCGGGATGGAAAGCCACAGGTTTCAAATTGAGTGAGTTTTAATACAGATTAATTCTACACTAATCAAATGTGGAGTGATGCATTAGAGCGATGAATTTTTCAGGTTGCATCAAGATTTGGTCAAGCGATTCTTCACCACTGCGTGTGAAATGCTGATGGCAAGAGGAGAAGTTCATGTGACTCACAAGACCGCTCATCCTTTCAGCAACTGGAACATTGTGAAGTTAGCAGAAGAGGTAGGGTTATACCTGGTTGAGGAAGCACCCTTCACGCGAGATGATTATCCAGGTTATCTCAATAAGAAAGGAAGCGGGAGAAAATGCAACCGGACATTTCGTGTTGGACAGTGTAGTACTTACAAATTTACCAAGCTACCTCTTCAACTTCTGGTTCTTGGTTCACCTTCTTGAATTCTTGATCTGATTGTGCTCTCTCGTCTCTGTTCTTCAACATGTATACTGTTTTCTTTTCTTACTGTTTAAACTTTGGTATGGGGTATCACAGCAACAAGTCAGCAAGTCCATTTGATCATTTCTCTATACGGAGTTTTCATTTATCTCGAGATCTTCCTTCTTGAAAGATCCAACTAATTGATGGAAGACAATTCTTCATGTTCAATGTAGATCCGAATGGTTCCCGAGGAATGGCCTAGTGATGAACTAATGACTGCACTTCAAAGGCCTTTCTTACACCAGTTATACTTTCAATCTCTTGTGCTCCGCCTTGCAAATAGAAAACACAGAAAAAATGTTGATTTAGGAACGAGTACCACAACTAAAACAAACTAACAAGACATGAGCAGAACTTACCTCGTCACCAATGTGAGAAAGAAGTCATTTTCGTGAATTGGGGTTTTGTTTTATTGCCTATTAGGTATTAAGGTTAGCTCTCTATAAATACGATGAGTTGCATCTTTGGTTGATAATAAGTCTATCAAGATATAGTCTTCTAATACGTGACCGTCATAGCCGTCTTTATTTTCCATCAATAAAATAATATTCGTAGTTTAATAATCCTTTTGTTTGTTTGTGTACTATAATTTTCAACTCATGAGATACCAATACACGAAATATAAAATCCATATCAAGTCCATTCAACATCTAACGGTCATATACAACTAAAAGAAAGAAAATAATTAGCGTAATAGGTTATGAGGTCTACTACTCAACATTTGGTATGTCTAGGGTACTTTTAATTTTTCTTACCTTTGAATTCATAACTAGTATATTTGCCAAGTAGTGAAAAGCCAATTGGACAAGTGGTTAACAACTTGGAGCCACTATAGGATCAAAGTGTAGCAGTCATTCACGAGCTCTTGGCAACATGCTTACAAACATACAACATAAATGTCATTAAAAAGTTTTAAAAGGCGTTAGACGTTAATTAGGCGACATGCAGGAGTTTAGCGTTGAGACGTCTAGACGGCGTTAGACAAATATTTTTAGAAGATTATTGAATACGAATCACATGCTATCATGTAATTTAACTGTTCTATTTAACAATGCGAATGGACTTAAAACACCAACATTGTGACATAGTGTATACTATACAAAGATATAAAAAGGACAATGAAGAAGGGGAGACTAGTATAGACTTGAAGATGAGTCCAAAGAACCCATCAATTTGGTGAAATGAATATTTTTGTGATCATAGGCTGATTCATTTACCTCCCATCATATCACATTTTGCCACTTTTTTCAATCTCACAAAATCATCCAACACTTTGAACCTCTCCTCAACGATAAGGAGGAGTCCACAGCCCCCCACACAAACCACCCACTAAATCCCGTTGTTCTTCTCCTCCACATCTCTCCCAGTATACACAGTTGGAAAAACAACCACATTAACCTTTCATCTCACTCAGTCAACCTCCGTTTACTATCCCACACCTCCACCAACAGCAATGGCCTCCACCACCGCACCCACCACCTTCTCCCTCCTCCACTCCGCCACCACCTCCACCTCCCGCACCCGCGCTTCCCTCTCCCACGTCTCCCTCCCCTCCTCCCTCAAACCCACCGCCCTCCGCCGCCTCGGCTTCTCCGCTGCCGACCCCCTCCTCGCACTTCAAGTAGCTTCCAAAGTCCGATCCTTTGGCTCCGGCAAAGGGGTCAGAGGCGTCGTTGCGATGGCGAAGAAGAGCGTCGGGGACCTTACCGCGGCGGAGCTGAAGGGGAAGAAGGTGTTCGTCAGGGCTGACTTGAATGTGCCTTTGGATGACAGCCAGAACATCACTGATGATACTAGAATCCGCGCTGCTATCCCCACCATTAAGCATTTGATTGAGAAGGGGGCGAAGGTCATCCTTTCCAGTCATTTGGTATGTTTGTTCTTTCAATTATGTGCTTTTTTTTACTGGGTTTTGCTTGTTTTCTCTGTTTATATGGTTTCTTTGTCAACTTTGCTGAAATGGGTTCTGTTAGTTAGCTCTCTTTTTTCCCTTTTGATTTGATTCGGAATTGGGCTGAAGTCGAAATCTTTCGATATGTGCTATGGTCTCTTTCAAAAATGTATGAGCTTTGAGTTGTGTTTGTGTGAGATTCTGGATTTATTTTGGGGCTTGATTTTGGTCCCATTGGTTTATTTAGTTTTACAGTTTTATTAATGTACTAATTTGGTAGCTTTTTTCTCTGTACTTGTTACAATGTGGATTTCCAAAATCATTTTCCCTCATTGGTTGGAAATTTTTGTTTCCGACTGATGAATTTGATAGTTCTGTTTGGGATTTAGACTATTAGTTACTCTGCCACTACCAAGAACTGATGGGGTTTATGTCTTCATTTTCCTATTTGATGTTTGGGCAGATCTCATCAGTTATTGAATGATGTCATGCAATAAATCTTTGATTTTTCTTTAAGCACAGGCTTTTTTCATCGCCCATCAAGAATATTGTTGTAGATTTCAGTGTTGATGGTTGGGGGCCTTGGGGCTATGTTTTCAACTTTTATGGTGCTTTATGATTCTGGTTTTGTTTGTACTTTTGGCATCTGTTTGTTGCCAAATACAGTGGTATGATGCAAGCTGAATCAATGTGCATTTTATTTCAGGGACGACCAAAAGGTGTGACCCCAAAATTTAGCTTGGCACCTCTTGTACCTCGGCTATCGGAGCTTCTTGGCATTCAGGTTTACATTTTTATTGAAGAGAAAATTGTATAAGAAGAAAAATCAAGATGGCAGTGACAACGGGTGTATATTGAAACTTATTTTTTGCTACTTCTACTTTTGTTTGCCTATCGTAACTGAAACAGGTTGTCAAAGCTGAGGACTCTATTGGTCCAGAAGTAGAAAAGCTGGTGGCTTCACTTCCTGAAGGTGGTGTTCTTCTTCTTGAAAATGTGAGATTTTACAAGGAAGAAGAGAAGAATGATCCTGAGCATGCAAAGAAGCTTGCCGCCTTAGCAGATCTTTATGTCAACGATGCCTTTGGGACAGCACATAGAGCTCATGCCTCAACTGAGGGAGTCACAAAGTTCTTGAGGCCATCTGTTGCTGGTTTCCTTTTGCAGAAGGTGAGGCTTCCCATTCTTGTCTCTGCTGTATCATTTACCTTAATAATCTGCAGACCTTTCCAATCCTTCAAGGAATACATATTTCATAATTTGAAGCCTTAGTTATAACTTATAACTATTCAAGCTACCATAATATTTAGATTCAAACATGCAACTCATGCTGGCTTGGGTTATTGGACTGTTATTGTCACTCTTGCGGAGAGTTTACACATTAGTAATTGCTAAGACGTCTTACTAATTAAAAATCATGATTTCCAATTTCTGTTTACTTCCTAACAAAAACGTGACATTACAAATGTGATCAAGTATCAGCCAAACACCCTCACCGCTTTTCTGTATTAATTCCTGGTTTAAATGTTAATGCTTATTTATTCTTCTTAGGAACTTGACTATCTCGTTGGGGCTGTATCAAGCCCAAAAAGACCATTTGCTGCCATTGTTGGTGGCTCAAAGGTTTCATCCAAGATTGGAGTGATTGAGTCGCTTTTGGAGAAGGTTGATATCTTACTTCTTGGTGGAGGTATGATTTTCACATTTTACAAAGCACAAGGTCTCTCAGTCGGTTCATCTCTGGTGGAAGAAGATAAACTAGAACTTGCTACATCACTCATGGCAAAGGCCAATGCAAAAGGAGTGTCTCTTTTGCTGCCCACTGATGTCGTAATCGCAGACAAGTTTGCCCCTGATGCAAACAGCAAGGTACATAATCTTAATGTACATTTACAACTTGATTCTTCAGATTCTTCGATTTGCTCTATCTTCTTGCTGGAAACTAGTTGATTCAACGTCAGCAATAATATTGTGTGTTTATGTTTAACTTTGATCAGCACTTCATGTGAAAGAAATGACAAATTGGTTTTGTACTTGCAGATTGTTCCAGCTTCAAGCATTCCTGACGGGTGGATGGGATTGGATATTGGTCCAGACTCTATTAAGACATTCAATGATGCACTGGATACCACTAAAACCATAATCTGGAATGGACCGATGGGAGTGTTTGAGTTTGACAAGTTCGCAGAAGGAACAGAGGTATGCAAGAGTCTTCTTTCTGGTTTTCACTTTTTGTTCATCATCGTTCCTATACATCTTCTTACGAATGCATACTGAGTGGACAAGTGTTATCTTGTAACGTAGTCAACATCTATCTCTTGAGGATCCTCAAGAGATGAGATGGTCAGATAGATAGTTCTCGAATCCTTTTGCACTGTTTACCTAAGTTTAGTTTAATGTGTTTGACCGTGTCGTAGATTTGTGTTGTGTGAGGGAACTCTTTAGCTTCTCTCGCCCATTATGATTACTTTATCCGGCTATATGAATGTGATGTGTGGGTGGTGATTTAAGTTGCAACTCTTTCTTTGCAGTCTGTTGCAAAGAAGCTTGCGGAACTTAGTGGGAAGGGAGTGACAACAATCATCGGAGGTGGAGATTCTGTTGCAGCCGTGGAGAAAGTAGGAGTCGCTAGTGTGATGAGCCACATATCAACTGGTGGTGGTGCGAGTTTGGAGTTGTTGGAAGGCAAAGAACTTCCTGGTGTACTTGCTCTTGACGAAGCCACACCAGTTCCTGTGTAAGAACAATCTTTTTTCCTGTTTGTTTTTTTCCCTGCCCACCGTGTTGGTGTTTCATTCGAGTCTGTAAACGAGAAATGGCATGTAGGAAGATGTGAGTTCGAGTTGTGAATGTCTGATGTTACCTTCAGTATAAGGTCCCATTATGTCTATATAAAGTTTCCATAAGAGATGGCGGGGAGGGACAAACGCAGCCGTCCGAGCAATCTAATAATTTTGTTCTTTGCGACCCTTTCTTTTTAATATGTCTCAAGGTTGGTTCTCTATCCCAATCACAATCCGTTAACCCCTGCGCCCTACGGATTTGGTTTACGGTTCAAAGTTACAATTTTGAATTTTCCAAGCGGCGAAATTCAAACATTCAACGGGCTGACAAGTACAATCTTCATAAAATATAGCTAGTCCTTTCGTTTTCGGACCAAAAAAAAATAAAAGTTCAAAACCTACGTTGTTTGTCATGGTACACAAAAGATGCGTACGGATTTTGTTTTTTATTCTAAAACTAGAATTTTCAGGTACGCTACAGCCTTACGGGTGTTCTCAATTCATGTCTGCTGTGCGTGACAAAATGATGCCAACATATCTAGATTAATTACAAGAAAATATCAAAAAATCTCATCAAACAAATAATTCATTCGTTATAATGACAAAACATAACAATTACGGGGAAAATCAACTAAATAATTCATTCGTTACAATGTCAAAACATAACAGTCATGCATCGTATTGACAACTACTATATATGCATCTAAAAATATGTGTTCACATTTCAAATCTCCTGACCTGAAGGGAACATTGTCACTGGAAATCACCTTAGCAGTAAACAAAGAAAATTAAACAAAATCATCCAAAGATCGAATCGAGCTAAGTAGAGATCTAACCCTATAAATGTCATAACCGGTCGTAATTCTGTAAAACGGAATTCCTTTCGCCATCACCTCTGTCCTCAACTTCATCACGGCCTTGTGTGCATCAGGACGCCCAGGATAGTATATGGTCATCCTCTCCTAATCATGAGCATGCCCGAGAATATAATATGCGAACTCAATAACATATGAACGGCATTGATACTGTATGACTACCTCCTTGGCTTGGGAAATAAATGAAATCTCTTTCGATTTCCAATAGTCACAATTTAACCATAGACGCTGAAAAGACAAACAATCAAGTAAATTGAATGAAAACAAAACACCAACGAAATAAATAACGAGTTTGTGACTACAACGTAAATCAATTTATTGCTTAATTTGTGAAGTGTAGTCTTACCTCAACAATATCTGGATGCAGAATAAGAACTTTAACCTTGCGGATGCTACAAAGAAAATCAAATAAGCCATCAAAATTACAGGTCATAAATGAAGAAGAAGTCTCAGCCTTCTCCAAGCACATTAAGTTTCCAAGATTCAGGCGAGTCATAAATTCCCCAAACCATTCCAAATACTTGAGATTTGGAGCAGAAATGTTGACCAATCTGTCTGTCTTCCCCCCAATCGGTGCATTGAAATGTAATTTTTCAAGTCTGTCACATGAGATGTTAACATGGCGTTTGTCGTTGTAGGCATGAGACTCATACCAAATTGATTCCAGAGATGAGCTTTCAATGACAAGATTGTTGACCCCAACACAATCTTTAAGAAGTAATTCCTTCATGCATGTGCAGCAAGCTGAAATCCAATTCAAAAATCGATCATCATCATTGTTTATCGAAACATCTTTGAACCTCAGGTACGTATTCGAGATTAAACGAAGAATCCATGGAGGCAACATCACTAATCCTGCACTTCATTTGCACAAGCAGAGATTTCAACGATCTACAGTATAAGAGGGAAGCAGGAAGCTCTCCAAACGTAATAGGAGTGATAACAAGATGAATCACTTCAACATTGCACTTCACTGCAATTTCAATCCATTCCCTCAATAGCGATTGGAAATAAACATCATAGTCGTCATCATGAAAATAATCACGAAGGTTCCAACAAAAGCGAAAGCATTGGATCTTATGATGCACTCCACGTTGAATGAAGAACCTACTCAAAGTGTACCCACCACACCGGAAAAATCATGAAAAATCATGTACGGGGTTGACATATAAAAATCTCTGCATGTTTTGGACACGCAGCCAACCCTAGTGAGGTCTTTGAAGTTGAGGCGGGACAAAATATCATGAGCGATCTCAGTTGGGAGATTAGTGAATCTATCTATATTACTAGCTTGATCACACCTTGGAGTGGCCATTGAAAAAGCAAAACAATCACAGATTCGCAGACAGGAAGAACAAAACCACTCAACTATGTTATAGGTGGAATTAGGGTTTTTGTGACCTAGAAAAACAAAGGAATTAGGGTTTTCTGCTGCTTTTGTTGTATTGGTCTTTCGGTGACGGTGATCCACTCTTTGTGTCTAGCACTAAAACTTCACTAATCAACACATGCAATACGTGAGTCTTGATGTACTCATCAAGATAGAACGCTTGGTAGTAGTATGAAGCTTACCTTCGCCGGAAACGGTGAGAAACTCGCCGGAGAATTGAGCCGCGTCAGAGCTAAATAAATCAACGGGTTTGGATTCGAATTTCTAGAAACAAATGTAGAGGATGGGTGCCGGGTGCTAGGTGGAATCTAATGATGGTGATTATGTGGTCTAATTCCACCGCCTGACGGCGGAACCGTTGCGCCTGTCGCTGGAACGGCGGTGTCTGGATTCTGTCGAGAGAGAGATTCAGAGAGAGAAAGTGAAGGGGAAGAGAGACAGAACGGGGAAAAGAGAGTTAAATTAAACCCTAATCCACAATTTGCTACGAATATGAGTGCCGCCTAACCATAGCCTAATTTTTCTACCAACTTTTTAATAAAAAATTTAGTACCAGATTTAGCCCTATGTAAAAACACTTTAAAAACCGTGTTAGAAATTATTCCTCAAATAATTTGTAGTCAAAGAAAAAGAAAATAGAAAAAAGAGCCTAAGATCTCTATGGTGATAGAGTATGATAAGCTCCGTGATTAAAAAAATTAGAGATTAAACCTTTTGGTGAGTCTGTTAGGATTGAACCCAAAATTGAAAATTCATTCATTTCTCTCTAAATAGTATGCACATGAATCTCACATAAAGGTCGTACCCAGTGCACAAGGTTCCTGCTTTACGCAGGGTCTGGGAGAGGTGAATGTCGGCTAGCCTTACCCAGTGCACATGAATCTCACATGAGAGAATAAAATATTTATTCAACGCTCGTATTCGCTCCGCATTCCAAAAGATTAAATAGCGACGTGGGTGTTAATTTTATCGTTTGAAATCAAACTGAAATGTGTGAAATGTAATCGTTGATTGAAATCAGTAAGGTTTGGTTGATGTTTGAGTAGCCACATTGATGGCTAGGAGACAAATGAAAGGAGCCGTGCAATCTTGGGTTTTTCGTGGTTCAATCCACCCGGCGTGGTCTTCTGCTTGAAGTTTTTTTAACCTTTTTTCCAATCGATGACCTCCACGTAGCTGGCTTGGTTTAGGCCCCGTTTGGGATTGAGGTGATTTTAAAAAAGCAACTGTGAAAAAAAGCTGAGGGTCATTTTTGTGTTTGGTAAACTGAAAAAAAGGGCTTATTTTGGAAGCTGCTGTGAGAATAAGCTGAAAATCAAAGGAAAAGCTGAAGCTGCTATTTGCTGCTTTGAAAAAAAGCCAGTTTTTTCAAAGCACACGGAGCTACAGTGCTCCTTTAATGAAAAGACACACTATCATCCTGCTTTTTTTTCCAAAAGCACTTTCACAAAAAAGTTTACCAAACACTCTACTGGCTTTATTTCACAGCCGCTTATTCTCACAGCACAGCCGCTTATTCTCACAGCAGCTTTTTTTCAAAGCACAGCAATACCAAACCAGCCCTTAGAATGGTAACTGTTATTGTCGGTATGTATAGGAAGTTGTTAAGTGAGAACTTCTAACTTTATTTCCTGCTGGATAAAAATTCAATATCAAAAAACTAATAAAGAAAGCACAGGTTCGACAAAAAAAGACAGAGCAGAGACAGATTCTTGAATGCAACATTAGCCAAGCCCATCCATAATCGCTTTTCCCATGCGAAATCGACTGCTAAGTTTAATTCAATTTCTCATGTGAACTAAAACATACAAGAAAGAAGGAGCAACGTCAATCAAAAAACAAAACGTAAAACTCCATAGGATTAGTTTTCTCACTCAAACACAATTCGATTAATTTCTAACGATGAACCCTAACAACCAGCTGATTCCCATTTTATTGTTCCACTCTTTGATTTCAATTAAACATTTCATTTCATGCACGCAAATTCGATAGCATATGATAAAGGTTAACAACCCACATCGCGATTTCATCGCTCCGCATTGGGTGGTGACTATGAATGAGTATTAGTTATTAGCTTCTAACAGTTGAATAAGAGGGAAATAACGATTTTAACCTCACACGTGAGGCTCACGTGCAAGCTGTTAACAGAAGAATGACAAACTTTCAGTTTAGGGCATGAATCATAACAAACTCACCTCAAGAATTTTTTTCCTAATTTTTTTTTCACCAAGAGTACCATTTATTCGATTAGGCAAAAAAAAAAAAAATTTACAAAATTTCAATTGAGAAACGAATAGCCCTAGCTGCGAACAACCTCCCTCTGTTCTCTTCATCCCTCACACCTTTCTAAACTCTTCCGTCCACCCCACCCACCCCAAATTTTATCTCTATTTTTCTTCCTATTATACAACCCTTGCTTTTGAATTGCAAATCAAGAACATATATATATATATATATATATGGATATGAATCGTAAATCCAGATCTTGCATGGTAAGAAATAAAGAGATAGAAAGAGGAGAAAAAAAAATGATGCTAACTTTCCCCGCAACAAAGAGAAAAGGAGTTACCGCTGTCATATATGGTGCTAGTTATGGATATGAATATTAAGGTTAGTATAAAATATTTGACCACGTAGTAGCTTTGTTTTGTGTGAGGGAACTCTTTAGCTTCTCTTGCCATATGAATGTGATGTGTGGGCGGTGATTTAAGTTGTAACTCTTACTCTGCAGTCTGTAGCAAAGAAGCTTGCAGAACTTAGTGGAAGGGAGTGACAACAATCATCGGAGGTGGAGATTCTGTTGCGGCCGTGGGGAAAGTAGGAATTGCTAGTGTGATGAGCCACATATCAACTGCTGGTGGTGCGAGTGTGGAGTTGTTGGAAGACAAAGAACTTCCTGGTTACGTTTCATATAAGGTCCCAATATGTCTCTATATAAAGTTTCCATAAGAGATGGCAGGGAGGGACAATGGCAGCCATTCGAACAATCTAATAAATTTGTTCTTTGCAACATTTTCTTTTTAAAATATCTTGAGGTTTAGTTCTCTATCCCAGTCACAATCTGTTAACCCCTGCACCCTACGGATTTAATTTCCGATTAAATTACAATTTTCAAGCCGCGAAAATCAAACATTCAACGGACCGACAAGTACAATCTTTAGACCAAAAAAATTAAAAGTTCAAAACCTATGAGGTTCATCATAGCTTATATAAGAGTAATGCTACACTTATCATCTATTTGTACCATCTCTCTAATAAAGGTAGGGCCCACAAACACATGTGAGTCTCATCTATATTAGAATGGTACAAAATCATAGTACAAGTAGGTGGTAAGAATAACATTTTTTTTTTTATAAAAATGCTTACGGATTTTGTTTTTTATTCTAAAACTAGAATTTTCAGTTAGCTTACAGTGTTCTCAATTCATGTCTTTTGTATGTGAAGAACTGATGCAAACATATCTAGTCTACTTCGTACTAGAAACATCAAAATCTCAAGTACACTAGGCGGTGAAAATCAAACAAATAATAATTCACCCATTACAATGACAAAATTCATCGCATCGACAACTGCTATGCATATAAACAATGTGCACCGAACAAATTAACTATGAATACATTTGAAATGCAAAATCAAACTCAGCAAATGTAGCATAAAATCACTCTAAATTTGATTCTACCATACAAATATCAACCGGTGTTCACATTTCAAGTGTCATAACCTGGTGGAATCATGACATTGGAAATCACCTTAGCAGCAAACAAAGAAAAGTAAACAAAATAAGCCAAAGGTTGAACATAACTAAAGAATCTAACCACCTGATAGTCGTGATGGATCATATTTTTTTTAAAGTGAATTCCTTTTGACATCATCGCTGTTCTCAACTTTATCAAGACATCATGTACATCATAACGGTGACTCTGAAAATAGTATATGGTCATCTTCCCCAAATCGTGAGCATGCTCGAGTTTATAATATGCGAACTCAATAACATTAGACTGGTGTTCATCATATTGTATGACTTAAACTCCTTGGCTTCAGAAATAAACGAAAGCTCTCTTTCGATTTCCAACAGTCCCTATTTAACCATAGGTACTGAAAAGGCAGACAATCAAGAAAATTGTTAGATGAAAACAAAACAGCAACGAAATAAATAACGAGTTTGTGACCAAATTGTGAATCAATTTGCTTAATTTCTGAAGTGTAATCTTACCTCAAGAATGATTGGATCCAAAATAAGAACTTTAACCTTGCGGATGCTACAAAGAAAATCAAATAAGACATCAAAGTTGGAGATCTGAGTTGTAGAATAAATCATAGCCTTCTCCAAGAACATTAAGTTTCCAAGATTTTGGCGAGTCTTAAATTCCCCAAACCATTCCAAATACTTGAGATTTGGAGCAGAAATGTTGACCAATCCAATCGGTGCATCGAAATGTAATTTTTCAAGTCTGTCACCGGAGATGTTAAGATGGCATTCGTCGTTGAAGTCATGAGACTCACACCAAAATGATTCCAGAGAAGAGCTTTCGATGATAAGATTGTTGACCCCAAGACAATTTTCAAGAAGTAATTCCTTAATGGATGTACAGGAACCTGAAAGCCACTTAAAAAATCGATCATCATCATCCTTTATCGAAACATCTTTCAACCTCAGGTATTCAAGATTAGACAAAAAATCCATGGTGGGCACAACACTAATATTGCAGATCATGTACACAAGCAAAGATTTCAACGATTTACATGGTAAAAGGGAAGCAGGAAGCTCTCCAAACGTAACAAGATGAAGCACTTCAACATTGCACCCCACTGCAATTTCAATCCATTCCCTCAATCGCGATTGGAAATGTACCTCATGTGCATCCTCATGATAATCACAAAGGTACTAACAAAAGCGAAAGCATTGTATCTTACGATGCACCCCACGTTGAATGAAAAACTTACTCAAAGAATCCAAAACACTTCTGTTCTTTCGACAAGTGGAGATATTCACCAGTACACCGTAAAAATCATGAAAATTCAAGTACGGGGTCGACACATAAAACTTTCTGCATGTTTTGGACACACAGCCAACCCTAATTAGGTCTTCGAAGTTCAAGTGGGACAAAATCTGATGAGCGATTTCGATTGGGAGATTACTGAATCGATCTAATCTACTACTGTTTGCTATCCGATTGCTAAAACTTTTAGGAATTACAGTGGCCATTGAAAACGAAAAGCACAAATCACCGTTCACAGTTCACAGACAAGAAGAACAAGATCACACTGACTATGATCAAGAAAATAGGAGAGAGATAGACAAATACTACACCTCTCTCTACAAGTTTCAGGCGCGCGGTTTGTGAGGCGGTGGTGTTTGCCTCTTCTTTCTAGGTTCTTTGATGCTCCTTCTGTGATTAGGCAACACTTTTCTTCCCTGTTGTTGGACTGGGAGTCGCAGTGCAACTCCTGCTTGTA